TCGTAGAAATGGTAAGAAGTCTTAAAAATCAATATTTTTCGATCGGAAAACTCTGGTTCTCTTCAGGAGACTTTCAATAATAATACCCAATTATTTATTTAACCATTTTTTAATACTAACGATTTTTTATTGGCCGCCCATTTGCATTTCTCGGGGTTTTTGGCTGACCTATAAATTTTTGTTACGATGAAAAAATAAATTAAACAATTGGTTATTATTACTGGGAATCTTCTGCAGATAAACGGAGTGTGTATTGATTTTTAAGAATTCTTTACCATTTCTACGAAAAGCTTTTTTTTCCCCATATAAAATACAACGAAAACATTGGGCGCTTTGAGCGACCTTTAAATATTTTTTGATTTCAAAATAAAAAAAGGGGTATATTTTTTTCGGTATAGAACAATCCAAGGGGGTGAGAGCATAAAAATTTCGACTTTACTTTTTCACATGCATTTTTCGAACACAGATACTTCGATTTCATACGGCAATAAAGATTTATATCAAATAACTACGCTTAGCTCTGAAACTTAAACAATGCAAAGAAACTCCCTTCTTCAAAACCAAAAAAAAAACCTTATACACTAAGTTCAAAATGATTAACTGGTTAAAAAGTTAACTATTTAATACAAATAAGTATTAAGTTCAGCATCCTTCGGTATCTGGCATGGCTCTAAGCATTCTTTTCAATGAGTGAACTAAGTTCCGGATAATATCTTGGGGTATATTCTCGCATATACCCTAAAGGGCCCTTTTAATGTTTCCCTTGCTCCTGATTTGAGGCTTGCTTAATTTTGATTCCATGTAAGCCCACTACTGTTCAATACATAGTAACAAAATATGAAAAGCAAGAAAATTCGGAAAGACCAGGAGGAAGTGGCAGACCAAAGGAAATATATACATCACAGGCAGAGAGATGTAATGCTACATATATCTAGGAAGATCTAAAACAATCCGCAGTAGCTATTCCAAAAGTGCTTAAAGATCCTGCTGAGATTGTTGCTATCGACCCACAGACTGTCATAAATTATCTGCATTCGTTGGTATTCGAGCATACACAACGCGTAACAAACCCTGCTTATCACAAAAAAAAAATTTATCCGGGTTATTTTCACGGATGAATCCCAATTTAATCTGCTTAGATCTGATGGGTGTCCATTTGTTTTGCGTAAAGAAGGTGGGGCATTAAATAACAGTAATTTAAACAAAACGATAAAACATGCCGGTGCCAGTGTCATGATATGAGGAACGATGGGCACAAACAGCGTCGGAAATTTAACTTTTGTTGAAAGCACCATGACTAAAGTGGACTACTTGAAACTTTTAAAATAATACATAGTACAGTCAGCTGCCAAATTATATATGTACTACAATTTTTGCCTAGAACAGGATAATGATGCAAAACATTCGTCGCTAATAACAAGAGAAAGCCTCGTGTACAATGTAAAAAAAAGTAGTTTCCACATCCTTCCCGGAACCCTGACCTCAACCCAATCTGTTGAGTATGGGTGCGTTCACAAACGTCAAAATACAAAGCATCAGTCTCTTTTATTTCTAAGCCACACTACACCATTTCCAGTTGGATTTTAGAAAGAGTCAATTGGATTTAGAAAGAGTCAATTGGATTTTAGAATAGTCAACTGGATTTTAGAAAGCGTAAATTGGCTTTTAGAATACTCAACTGTACTTTAGAAAGCGTAAATTGGATTTTAGAATAGTCAACTGGATTTTAGAAAGCGTAAATTGGATTTTAGAATAGTTAGCTGGATTTAAGAAAACGTAAATTGGATTTTAGAAAACGTAAATTGGATTTTAGAAAATGTAAAGTGAATTTTAGAATTTTCTACAAAAATTTTGAAGTAGCCAGTTTTTTCTTATGTGCGGTATTTGTCTATGCAAATTTTTCTAAAATATTCACTTTTAAGCGAACAGTACTACTTTCTATGCGGATGCAATTGCCAAACGAGATATGAGAGCTGGTGAATAAAATTTTTTTAAATGGCATTTTATTTCTTCCAAGTATGTAAAACATGGAATTTTGTTACATATACTATTGTCTTGCTCTTCCAATTTACATTACTCATTTACTATTACATTACATTTCACTCCTGTGCACCTATATTCTTTTTATATACATTATTCTACTACATAATTTTTATATTCCGCTCACGTCTTCATTATCCGCTTTCTTTTATACTTCAAACAGATCGTATATTCCTAAATGTAACCTGTTGTTTAACTTTAATATATATTATATTGTTAAAACTTAATAAAAAGTAGTTATAACTGATACTTCAGCAATATTTGAAACTACATAATCATATGCATAGCATAGTGTATGAATAATTAAAAAATCCAATTGACTATTCTCAAATCCAGTTGACTCTTTCTAAAATCCAGTTGACTATTCTAAAATCCAATTGATCGTTTCTAAAATCCAGTTGACTATTCTAAAATCCATATGGCCCTTTCTAAAATCCAGTTGACTATTCTAAAATCCAATTTACGCTTTCTAAAATACAATTGACTATTCTAAAATCCAATTGACGCCTTCCAAAATTCAACTGGAAATGGTGTAGAAGGAAAAGCCTAACTTGCGCAACCTAGTAGAAAACCAGCATCTAACCGTGGTTGCGCACATTTGGCATTAAAATCTACTGAGGTCTAGAAATAAAAGAGACTGATGCTTTGTATTTTGACGTTTTGGAATTCACCCTATCTGTGAGTTTACATGGAATCACAATTACGGGAGCGTCAAATCAGGAGCAAAAGAGACCTTAAAAGTAGCCTTTAGGATATATGGGAGAAAATACCCCAAACTATTAATATATAATAGAAGGCTTAGAGCCATGCCAGATACCGAAGGTTGCTAAACTTAATACTAATTTGTATTAAATAGTTTACTTTTTAACCAGTTGATCACTTTGAATTTAGTGTAAAAGTTTTTTTTTTGTTTCGAAGAAGGGAGTTTCGTTGCATTGTATAAGTCTGTGTTTTAATTATTATTTCTTTAACCTAAATAGCTTAACTAACGGCAGAGATATTCAACTTTGAAGATGAGTACCTTCAATGTACAACTTTTTTTTTGGTTCACTGTATATATAATTGATCAGTCATACGACTTAGTTACGGCGATTTGTAGCACCCACAGAATTGAGCTAGGATATCACTGACCATTATAAAGGACCCTGAATGACGGCAAAGCTCAAATCAAAGCTTTACAAATTTGTTAATATGATTTTTAACCGACTTGCAAAAAAGGAGGAGGTTATTAGTTCGTCGGAATATATTTTTTTTTTTATGTATGTTACCGCATAACTTTGGACCACGTCAAACGATTTCGATAATTCGCTTTGCATCGGAAAGGTAGTGTCTCAGAGGTGGTCCCATACTAATCTGGTTTAGATCCGATCATTGGATCATGAAACATATATAGATATATATATAGTGTTTTTATGTCGTTTTTTTTGCCAAAAATTACTTGTTGAAATGAACGATCCAAAAATACCGGAATACATATTTTAAAATTTTTAGAATCACTGCAGTGGCTGAGTTTTTGTTCTGAAAGGGTTAAAAAGGCTTTAGTTAAAAGTGTGATACATTTCACCATGAAACGGCGCCAATTTTAAGTGATTATTGCGTTTCAGATTTCGACCAATAAAGCCCTTGTACAGATATTGTGAAAGGTTGGACTATACCTTAAAGATGATTGTTTTCTCACGAGACACTGTACGAAGCTTTGAGTAGAGTAGGGTCCTTTAAGAACTTAAAAATTATCCTGGGTTATCAGGTCTCTAGCAATACAAGATTAATTGTTGTCACGAAATTCTTTAAATAATTCTTGAGCTAAATACTGAAGTTTATTCATAATTATCACGTTTTATTATATACTTAAATTTAAATTCTTAATATTATTAATTATTTCTTAACTGCATTCACAGAAATTTCGAGGGTTACTACTAGTTCTAATAAATGGTCAGTTTAACGTCTTATAAAATGTACCTTTAGGTTTATGCACCTTGAGCACACATCGAAAATTTGTGTTAGAGAATCAATGTGAAATAATTGCAGACGCCTGCTTTTTAAATAATTTTTGTAAAACAAATCGGCAAGTACACATCGCCCCCCGCATGCCAGAAAAATGAATGTGTAATGGTGAACATTTTGGGAGGTCAAGTTTGAAAGTATTTTTTTTACGAGACTTAACTCTGCATTCATGTAATTGACATTGTGAAATATGTGGTTTCCGTGTACGCATGACATTCTGGGTTTTGGTATAACATAGAACATCCAAAGGTTAATCAAGTCAACCCAATAACTCAAAATTGGTAAATCTGAACATTCGCATCGCGGATGTCTAAAATTCCACATTCGCAACCTCCCTACTATGTACATATATACATATGTGCATTTGGGCATTTGGCCGTACATCTGTAAGCATAAGTAAATAAGAATGTGATTTTTTGGACATACATAATAGATTATTAGTTCAGTATAAATGTAAATGAAATTTTTTTGAATAAATTAATTACTGATCGAACCTCAATCATAGCGATTTAATTTGTCATTTTCTACACCCATATGTACTATATTAGATACTTTTCCAAAAATCAGCTACCCAACGAATATTTAGGTTAGAGAACGATTAGAAAGCGAGTCGAATTCTAATGTGTTTCTCTAAGGTAGAAGATTAGAAGACGATTACAGAAACTGCCGAGAACTATAGCATTCTCTACAAAAAGGGAACTTGGGTCTAGATATTGAGAAAGAGGTTAGATATCTAGTCGTATTCTAACGTTGAATTTTAGTTAGTTGCTGGTGTCTAGTGCTTTTCTAATCATTCTCTAATCGAATTCTAGCACAGTTCTCTAACCTGATTTTCGATTCGAGAACTACATTAGATGCTAATGTAGAATCTAACCATTGCTCTAACGTTAGAGACTGTGTTTGCTGAGTAATGTCTAATATAAGTATAAATTAAACGATCAGCATTGGTAGCTTACCTGATCAATTTCATCGAACAAATAAAAGGGCGCTGGATCACATTTTTGAATTGCGAAAATCAATGCCAGCGCAACCAAAGATTTTTGGCCTCCAGATAACTGATTCATTTCTCGCATTTCTGCATCAACTCCTGTAAAGGATACGCGAATACCAATTCCAGTAAACGCGTCAGAATTGGCCACCTCTTTGTCATCTTTCTCATCTTCACTGTCCTTTGTTTTAAGTATTAAATAGCCGGCACCTTGTGGTACAAGTTTTTTAAATACTTTGGTGAAATTCTGTGCAACTTGCTTAAAAGTAAATTGTATGGCCTCAACCTTTTGCATTTCAAGAGTCTTCATTAGTTCCCGAATCTTTTGATCTCCCACATCTAATTCATCTTTTCGTTTATACAACTTTTCTTTTTGTTCAGAAAAACTGAGAAACTGATCCAAAGCTTTCTTGTTTACGTGATTATACTTTTTAAGATGTTGATTCGCTTTTTCAAGCTCCTTAAAAAGTGATTTTAATGACATTTTACTATAAACTCCATCAACCTGTGGTAGAGCACCTAAGCTAGCAATTTTTTCAGCACATTCGTCCAGTTTTTGATTAAGTAAAATTTCTTTTGATGCCCATTTCTCCACTTTTTTAGAGTCTTCATTAATTTTTTCTTCTGCTTCTTTTTCTTTTCGCATCCAGTTCTCTAATTCATGCTGTAATGTCTTTTGCAGATGAACTGCTTGTTGAACCCTAGAAAATAATAAATTTTAATTAAATAACCGAACTGGCGCAAGTACATATGTATATACTACCCTGCCCACATTTAGATTACACACCCTTGAAAATTGTTGCTGTATTTCATGATTCAATTAGATTATAAGTAGCTTTTTTCTAAAATTTGGCACTCCCACCCACAGCGATGTTTTTTGGAAGCAGGAGGAAAAGAGGAAGAATTCAATTACCTTTCAAAAAGTAGCGAAGTTCCACAACAAGGTGTTCATAAATTATAGTGCATGGTAGAATTTGCTTTAATTATTTAATTGAAACCAGCTTATTTTCATCGAATATATCCTTTGATTGTTATTAAAAATAAATATTTGTATGTATATATAAGGGGTGTTAATTTTTTCGCTTTTTACGATCCCGGGATTTTCGGGATGTCGTTATCACAATCCTGGGATTTAGATGCTTTTCAACAGCTTAAATCGAAAAAATTGCTTCTATATTGCTTGAGAAGCNATCGTTATCACAATCCTGGGATTTAGATGTTCATTACTTTTCAACAGCTTAAATCGAAAAAATTGCTTCTATATTGCTTGAGAAGCTCTCCTAGCATAAAATAAATGATAAATAAATGGGTTTGAAAACTACTATTTTATTTAAAGTGACGTTTTTATTTTTTCTCTCTGACGTCAGGATTTATTTTAAAGGATTTGTATTTGCAACGATATGATTAATTCCAATAATTATTTTAAAAATTCAATGCAATGTAGAATAAAAATATGGGTACCAAATGCAAGATGGAATTTCTTTAAAATTTAAAAAAAGTATTTTTTTTTTGGATTCACAAGGACGAATATGTAATTTTTTAAGCTGATAAAGTTAGAAGGACGAAATTCGAGGAAGTTATCGAGTTTATATAATTCCTTAACATATTATTTTTTTAAAAGCAAATATTGCGTCCTTACGCACAAAAAAATTGAATGTGTCTAAATTCTACAGAATTTCCTCTTTAATTTGATACCCATACTTACGGTGACCATCCGTCCTGTATTATACGGGACAGTCCTCTTTTTTCGTCCATTGTCCTGTTAATTTATTTATTAAACACGGGACGCCAAATGTTCTGTATTTTTTTCGATGTCCCTTATTTGTCCCGTCTTCGGTATTTTGATGCCTTAAAATCTCATACAAATGGCATGCCAATGAACCAGTTTTTATTCTTAAATCTGGACGCTTGTGATTCAAATCTATAGATCCTATAGGAGCACATATGTATGTGTGGAGATGGTTTCTGAAGTTATAATTTTGCGTAGAAAAACTGGACATTTGTGAGTTTGAATAGAAATTGGACGATAATGATTATTGTTAAAATTTTTAAACGAAATTTCACTAGTAGCATTTTTTTTTCCTTTTGATTTAATATTTTTTCCAGAAATTCGTCTTTAAATTGTAATTTTTGTTTACAGTTTACTCTAAAATTTCAAACTTTGTTTACGTATATGGATTCTAAAACCAACAACAAAATACACACAGCTTGCTGTTGTGCTACCATCTGTCCACTGTGCTGTAGTGTGTGACAATCTCCAGAGAGAGAGAGAAGAACTCATTACGCGAAACTAGGTGAAAAAATTATTGTTAAATTTATGAAGGATCGTATCTTCAATATGAGAAACTCTAAATAAGAGGGCTTCCATGAGAATTTTGCAAAAGTAGAGAAGTTCGAAGGGAAGTTGATCCCTTCAAAGGTACACTTTGCAGTTCAGCTCCGTCCGGATGCTATGCACTGCGTTGTGCTTGGTCGAAAGCTGAGTCTGAAGATAATCCGTTGAAAACAATTTCTACTTCAAAAGTAGTCGAATATTTTCATCATGTTTCCCTGTCAAGGAATGTTTGTAACAAATTTTGCGGGGCAAAAATCCCGACTACAGAGTAAAAAGTTATGGAAAAGTATTATACAATTGCGTGATCCCTGCAGTGAAAAGGTAAACCAGTATGCACAAATTCCAGTTCATGAACTATTATTTAAGGATAAAAGTCATACCAGTTCGTTATGAACCATAATTATACCAGTTCCGCGCAGAAAAAAGTAAACTAGTTGGTAGAAATTCTAGTTCGAAAACTGGTATTAAATGGGAGTCATACCAGTTCGTCATAGACTATAATTATACCAGTTCTCCGCAGTGAAATGCCAAACCAGCCAGTATAAATACTAGTTCATTAACCAGTATGTGCTAAAGCGACGGCCTACCATTTCAGCGATTTCGAACAACTTATGCGATCAGCGACATCTGTCTTTGAATAGGCATAACCATAACTAAAACGTGGTTAATTGCATTTATCACAAATGTCGGCTGTGGCGTCGAGTGAAGACTACCGATTCTGGTGCTGAGATCTCAGGTTCGAGTGCGCATGGAGGTTGTTAAAGTAAAGTAAGTAAATTAATTTAAGTAATTATTTCAATTTAAATATAAAATAAAAATTGTACATAAATTTAATTTGATTTGGAAAAAACCTAAAAACTCAAATACCATAAAAAAATGAAAATAAATAATTTTTTGTTCTTTTTAAAACAATAAATTTAAAAATTGCACAAGAGATATAAATAAACAAGAAAAAAAGATTCGCTCACTGAGATTCGAACTCGGATCTCTTGATTTGGCGTGCCACAGCTTTACTCTGTCGACCATTGCCACTGTTGCAGCGCCGGGAGCAAAATTACATACTTATGCATTTTACGGGGGATGAATAGGCAGTCTATCCCGTCAACTGGTATGATGCTATTAGTATTTCTACTGGTAGCGTGCTGATGCAGGAGCGGAGAATTGACATCTCCTATGACACCGCCATGTTAAAAATACCAGTCGCTAACATTGAAAAAGGATACAACGTGAACTAGTTGGGCTGAAACGCAAACTGGTAGCATTCTGGTTCACAACTGGTAGCTTTCCCTGCAGGGATGTTACAACTGAATATTTACATAGTATGTATGTATGTGTATATGTTCTGCTCTCACAAAAGTTTGAAAAATGTATGCCAAATCAAGACACTGTCTCGGGGCTAATAAATCTAGGATCATTGGAAAAGGTTTTGTGGAGAAAATTTGGGAACATTATTTTATGTCTCATAATCGGTTGCCATAAATATGGTCACCGTACCCATACTTCTTCTCTAAGCACATTTCACTGAATTTTTTAAATAATTTTTGAATTACTGACGTCAGAGTGAAAAACTAATAACGCAACTTTACTACATTTGGACCATGGTTTCGTGAATATATTGATTTTTGTGTCTTAAACTTACTATCGCACGGTGTTATATTTATGTATAATGAGCTGTACATTTATAAAAAAATATTAATTAATAAAAAAAAAGAAATATAGCCAATACTGGCCAAGAAAAGGAATTTTTACTATTGCTATCAGAGCAAATTACAAATCCCGAAAATCCCGGGATTATTTGCCAAGAATCCCAGGCTTTGCGGGACCTAAAAAAGGCCGGGATCCCGGGATTAACATTCCTAGTACATATATATCAAAGTTGCGTACGTCAGACCGGATAAAACTTGAGAATGGATGGTCCACTTTGAGCTGTTTTTCTGTTGTATTTGTTTGCCTTGTAAATTCTTTGCTGTTTATTTGTTTGCGGAAAAGTTATATAATTTTGATAAAAAATACGCAATAAAAAACATTTGGAGCTTACTTTTCTTTCGCGGTAATGGCTCGATTGCTTCTAATACGGTAAGGAGAATTCTTTGATGTTGCACTTTTAGGGCCAGTTTTTCAGTGAAAGTTTAAACTTAGATCACGTAAACTGTGTTTGTCTTGACATGNAAAAACTTGAGAATGGATGGTCCACTTTGAGCTGTTTTTCTGTTGTATTTGTTTGCCTTGTAAATTCTTTGCTGTTTATTTGTTTGCGGAAAAATTATATAATTTTGATAAAAAATACGCAATAAAAAACATTTGGAGCTTACTTTTCTTTCGCGGTAATGGCTCGATTGCTTCTAATACGGTAAGGAGAATTCTTTGATGTTGCACTTTTAGGGCCAGTTTTTCAGTGAAAGTTTAAACTTAGATCACGTAAACTGTGTTTGTCTTGACATGCTCGAGTTTAAACCACAGCCGTGCACTGGAAACCTGCCCTTAGTGTTCGGGAGACATTATGCCGCCGATCAGAATATCAAAAATTGGCTAACACAGTCCCGATTCGTGCTGCTCGAACTCAGGAAGAATGAAAAGGGCACGCAGCTACTGAACGATTGTGACAGGAACGCGATTTACACCGTCAAATGAGAAGTTCCGTAAGTGTACAATTAGAACATCGCTCAAGCGACTAAACCGAGTCCATGGATACGATTTGCCAATATTATATTGCGTCAAATTCTGATTAGGAGACACCAGGATTGTACCTTCGTTGACTCATTTACCAGAATCAATAGGTCTCCACGAATGTCGACAAATACATTTCGGCATTTAAGGGAATTTCGTCGCTTTAGCAGGGTGCGGAGAAGGATCAAAATACGATCTTTCTCACAACCAATCGCGGCCAAAAATTTAGTGCTGCGAACAAAAGCATTTACGATATCTTATCAATATCAATGTTCGTAAAGATAACGAAAGAGAAGATTTTGCTGCAAGCGTCGTTCGTTCGATCTTTCGCGATCGTTCGTTGGTTTCGAGCGTTTTTTGTGAAACTCAATCAGTTACTCGTATTGTGAAGATTGACACCCCTATTCTGCAACTCTTTCGTATTCGGATTTTGCTACGAATCGTAGAAATAGTATGCTGCAATCCGAATCGTATTTTCGAACTTTCGAAATTCGTGACAATGGCATGCCTATAAACGAACGAGTAAGCTTGTACGAAAACAATTCTGTGTTGGAGGCGAGATAAAAGATGTAAATCGATGTGTGTTTGCAGGAAATATTAGTGGTGTTCATTTAAACAGATAAATTTGCCTTTCGCATATACGTAAATTTTTATCCACTGCTTTATATAAACGAACAAAAAAGAATCTTTGTTGCCCCT